TTTAATAAAAACGCCATTGTAAATGCTATTTAGATTTTATTTTTATTAACTGAAAATGTATGCTATGCCATTTGTTTTTATTGAGTTTTGAAAATTACAGAGTCCAAGTAGCGACAATTTTTTTCGATACACATTCGAAGCTGATTTCTAAAAGTTTCCATCACTCGAGCAGTAATTTGAGGCGATATTCCTGTAATTTCTTGACGTATTGCTGCTTTCAATTCGTCAATGGTTCGGGGGTGGTGTTGAAAAACCTTCGTTTTCAGGTAGCCCCAAAGGAAAAAGTCGCATGGGGCAAGATCGGGTGAACGCGCAGGCCACCCAACGTCTCCAAGTAACGAGATTACGCGTCCTGGAAACATTTCCCTTAAAACGTCTATTGTCCTTCTTGCCGTATGAGCCGTAGCTTCATCCTGTTGAAACCACACATCCGGATGTTCAAGTTCTCTAAGTTTTAGTTTCAAAAAATTGCGTAGCATGTCGACATATCGATCGGCAGTTACGGTAACCGTCACGCCTCCCTCTTCAAAAAAATAGGGACCCCAAACGCCAAAAGATCCAACAGCACACCAAATGGTAACAAATGGGCTGTGAAGTGGCCTTTCATGGAGCTGCTGCGGATTCTCTGATGCCCAGTAGCGAAAATTCTGCTTGTTCACACAGTCAGACAGATGGAAATGAGCTTCGCCACTCGTTATTAAAAGAGCATTTTGTGGGATGTTTTCATAAATGTTTCGATAACGAAGGCACGATGCTCGCCCGTCCAATTCATGACGACTGAAATGGCAAGGCGCGAGCTACCAACCGACTACGCTAAGCTCCCCCTCTCTTCAGTGGTTCGGGCACAGTGGCGGTGCAAAATGTGGGAGATAATTTTGCCGGATCCTGTATAATAACATATATCTCCAATCGATTGAATCGATGATACTATTGATTCACTCAGCAGTATTAACCGTAGCGGAAAGTACAACGCGACGACGAGTTGAAGTATGTTAAAATATATCGACATTTTATAATCGTTACGGCAGTCAAATTATTCCTCATTAAAACAAATATTGACAGGGTGAAGTTGATGGTCAATCGTTTAGTGAAGACAATGGCCAAATATGCAGCGCGCATGTACGACAAGGATTCGATTTGCTTGATCTCCAATTTGCTTGAACTTTCTGATTACTGATACAATCTGGCTAAATGGTTTCTCCCAGGCATACATCTTCACTGAGCCGAGAATAATTATCTCATAAATTTGTTTCGTAAAATTTTCTTATAAGCGATACTTGGATGTTAATATTATATTTTTATTCATCAGCTATATCGTTTAATAATAATTAATTAATGCGTTAGATTCTACATTATTCTGCAAGAAGTTCTAAATGGATAACTTTTTTCAGCATTTAAATACTTTCTAAAATATAATACATATTCTGAAGATTTTTTCTGCGCCGAACACGATGTGCATGATTCGCAGAATTTGCATAGTGCGTCAAGATTTTAAGAATAAATTCTTAGGAATAAATTAGGATAAAGTGAGTAAAAAATAACTTTTAATTATTTATAACATTTTTGTATACTAAACAATATTAAGTGAAATGAATTAAGAAATATTTAAGAAACACGAATAAGGAAGAAGAAAATTATTTTCAATCAAAGTGTGTCCAGCTGTTTAGTAATATTTATAAGTGGTTATAAGTAGATATACTAGGCCGGTTCTAACTCTTGTCCTCTGAGGGGAGCGCAGGGAGCGGGGGGTACTCGTTGGCGCGGAGGGGGGGATACTCGTAAGCGCGGGCGGAGGAAGGTGCGATAGAGGGGGAAGGCGCGGAAAGTCCCGGCGGCATCGTTGTAATAGGACCCACATAAACAATGCGTTTCTTTTTTTTTTTATCCGCCGCCGCCGCCGCCGCCACCGCCACCGCCGCCGTCACCATCGCCACCTCCGCTGCTGCCACCACCACCGCCGCTGCTGCGGGCCCCGCGTCCACCCCAAAAATGCGTAGATAACAAGGGTTCGCACGTTAGAGAAAAATAGAGCGTGCACGACGCTTTACATGACACAATTATTATCTGGCAGATTAATAACGTGACTTTATGTGATATTATAACGTAGTATGCTTTGTAGGCGATAGAGCGTGCACGATGTTGGAGCGCATAACGTGATATGAGTGAAGAAAGGATAGAAGAAATGAATCCTCTTTTTTATGATGCAGTTTTTTTCAATACGGTTTTTTTATTAGCGCGTCGAGGTATAGGATGGATGGATGGATGGAGACTAAAAAATAAAGTATTGTACATATATAAAATGATGTGGATGAAAATTTTTTATTCACATGTTATTACATCATGTTTTTTCTCATATTTTTATTACATTTTTTTCGCGATCGACAGCGTTCGAATGCAATCGACAGCTCGAACATCGCTAGCTATGACTTATACTTTGATGATGACGACGACGATGATGATGATGATGATGATGATGATGATGATGATGATAAATATGTTTGCGATGTTGATGATGTCGATGAGGAACATGTTAGCGATTTTGATGCTTTTTCATCTGGACATTCCCAATATCGCGCTTTTTCCCTCGATGGTGATGGACTTGGCGGACCTGGTGACAAGGGACGGTACCCCTTGCGCTCGATCGATTTTCGATGTATACATTCTTTTACACGATCCATGTCTTATCACTCGTAATCGAAATTTACGATTGAAAGAAAAAAAATTATATACATTGTTTAAATACACTATCAAATCAATGATACATCGCGACGCGTTAAGAGAAGCGCTGATGTTCGGCTGCTAAGCAAAACATAACTCTTCTACAGTAAAATGAAAGTGATATTCCAGTGAAAAGTATGAAAACACACTGCGTTCCCACAATCCTTAAATTTCTTCGAAGAAGTGTCGATAACGATTTTTTCTGAAAAGAGAGATCGATGTAGCGACATGTAGCGACATATAGCGACGCGGTCAAAGAAGCGTTGATGCTGTTCATATAAACTAGAATCGCTCGCAATGCTGCCTTATCTACTTCTAAATAAAGTATGATCCAATAGGCAAAGGGACAAAGAAGTCATAAATGAAATATATAATGAGTTAAAAGCGCTCAGTTCCGCAGTTGCCCTGGAAAACGAATGAATTGAACGCAATAAGAATAGTGGAAAAAAAGTATGGTTGATCATCGTGCGAACGTTGAGGACATAGCCAACGTAGTCGAGCACATTAGACGCGTGGATCCGGAACAGTTAGCGAATATTAGAGACGAAGTGTTAGAGGAAATGGATGTAGATTTTGAAGAAATAATGGATCAAGATTCCGACGAAGAAGTGCTATCCGATGATACTGGTTTGTGTTAGCGACTTGAATGAGCACGATACGGATCACGCAGAAAAATTTGTGCCGTCTCCAAAAATCCGCGCACTGAACGGTCATACTAAACACTGCATGATCCAGTACTACTATACAACGGGTGGTGCCTTAAATGTGCGTGCAGAGTTGTTGGAATGTATCTTGTAAAGAAACACGATATCGATTATATTGATGCGCTAGGCGGCCGGTCTTGTACGAATTGTGGAATGCAAATGTACACTATATTTCAATGCAACAAGTGCTCACATAACACACATTGAAAAACCATTGTGAACAGTATTGTAAGCGAAACACTACTGAAAAATATGTGGGAAGACTCTAACGTAGATGACGCTGTATGTTCTCGGTAATCTGCAAAAAAGAGACATAGGTACACGAATATCGCCAGTGCAATTTCTACGCGATCGTGAATTAGATATACGTGGTGAGAAACATGCAACAGTTATCAGAGAGCCCGTTTCTGACTGGTCTTTACTCATGCGACAGAAAGTGTATCTACGGTTACGAGACAAATGTTACGAGGATGATGAATATGAAAAGAGGCATTGGTGGAATAGAAATGTCGATGTAATAAAAGACGATTATTATTGGGTATAGAAAATCGCAGATAAGAGCCAAGGTTGGTGCATCTGCATTAAGATTCCTGCAGGTAGGGAAAAGTGCGTCGAACTGCTGATTATTGACAATATATGGATGGAGTTTCGTGATCGCGATCTTGCACCAAAACTATTTTTCGACAAATGCAACGACCGATGTTTTGAGTGTGAGCAGTGCATTTTAGCAAACAAACATAATGAAAAAGTATTAGAACATTATGATTTTCTAGATATGTCGCGATGCTGCAGCGTGTGTGAACGAGTCACGTGTAAGTGCTCCGTGGAAGAGTGTAACGTGATCTAAAGAGAAAAAATGGAAAATCACGAGCGAGTGGAACGCGAACTGTTGGAGCAGTGCAGCCAGGTCGCTACTCTGGTGGAATGTTTCGCGTGGCTGCAACGATGCGACGAGTGCATCGAGCGGCTCGAAGAGCTTTGTCGTGCCAAGCGTCCGCGTCTCACGGACACAGACAATCCATGGTGGCGAGGATCGCGCGACTCGCGAGTGCAAAGACACAATTAGAGCGACGTTTCGTGCACGTTGGTGGCGGGTACGTCAGTCGCGACGAAAGATCTCTCGTCTGGCGAGAGATCGACGCCGCGTTTGAAAGCCGTATATCGACGTGTACTGTGGTCAATGTCGATTACATCGAGCCGCGGCGGTTTTTGGAAAACGCGAGAGAAATAGTGCTCGAACGTGTGCGAGACACGGTAGAAAGACACGGAGTGCAAAAGTGAACACCACGTTCAATGGCGAGTTTGCGACGAAAGATAAACGTGCTAATAAGAGCATAATTTCAAAGAACAGCGAGATATACCGATACACCGATTTGCGTGAGTGGTACGAGCAGCATATCATCGAACCCACGTTGACATCACTCGAAGAGTTCCAGGAACGCGACAGCGGGTGGGCATTGTCGCGAATCTTCAATTTGGTAGTGAACAAACTAAATCCCATGCGCGCGGGATGTTACTTCGAGATGCCGCGGGAAATAGCGACGAAACGAGCGGTGATCAACGTTAGTACGATGGACAATGCGTGCTTCGGTGGTCGCCACTCTGTACCCGGCTGAAAGAAATGTAACTCGAGAGTCATCATATCCGCATTATACGACGGTGCTGAACCTCGCGGGTATCGAATTTCCGATTACGTTCAAAGGCATTCCGAAATTCGAACGGTTGAACGCGGCGTCGATCAATGTATACGGCATCGAGAATAAACAAGTCCTTCCTCTGCAGCTCACCAGTGACAGGAAGGACAAGCATCAATCTCCTGTACATGCAAGATCTACGCGACGATGGTGTGCCACTTTGCGTGGATCAAGAACATGTCGCGTTCTCGTGAGTTCGCAACTAAGCAAAAAAGAGCACAAGAAATATTTCTGCGATCGGTATGTACACCTTGCAAAAATTATTATAATTTCCCATCTTCTTAATAAAATATAGGTAACTGTTATAATTTTTTTGTTTTTCAGATGCTTGCATTACTTCAGCACGAATGAGAAATTGCAGTCGCACACAATGGACTGCCAGAAAATCAACGATTGCGCTATTCGACTGCCGAGCGAGGACGAAAAGTGGCTCGAATTTGAGAACCTCTGCAACAAGGAGCACGTCCCATCCGTCGTCTACGCTGACTTGGAGTGCGTTTTAAGAAGACGGAACCCGACAAAGAAGATGCGTCATCGTATGCGTATCAACGGCATGAGGTATTCAGCATTGGCTACTACGTGCGTTGCTCGTACGATGACGCGTTATCATCGTATCAGTTCCGTCGCGACAAAGATTGTATAGCGTGGTTCGCGCGACAACTCAACGATTTGGTGCATCGCGTGAAAAATATATCCGCCAACATGCCCATGGAAATGCTGTCGAAAGAACAATGGGAGGCGTACCGTAGTGCGACGCGTTGTCACATTTGCGAGAAACCGTTTGCGTCGGATGACACGCGGGTACACGATCATTGCCACTTAACCGGTAGATACCGCGGTCCAGCGCATTCGAATTGTAACTTAAATTATAAAAATTCATTATGTATTCCGATCGTTTTTCACAATTTATCGGGCTGCGACGCGCATTTTATAATTAGGGAAATCGCTACAGCATATGAAGGACACGTAGATGCATTACCGATAACCAAAGAAAAATACATCTCCTTCACAAAACATGTCGATAGCACTAAAGATAAAACTGAAAATAATTCTCAAAGAAATTGTGTAAAATTTCGTTTTATTGATTCATTCAAATTTCTCAGTACAAGTCTCGATAAATTAGCGTCGTATCTCGATAAAAACAAATTAAAAATTATACGTTCAAAATTTTCAACGCTATCGGATGATGAATTTGAATTACTGACTCGTAAAGGTGTCTTTCCGTACGAGTACGTTGACTGTGCCGAAAAATTGCAGGACACGCGCTTACCACCGCGCAAATCTTTTTACAGTTCGTTAACGGGCGATATCGTATCCGAGAGCGTTTACGCTCACGCGGCGAATGTATGGCAGCAATTCTCCATCCGAACGCTCAGCGAGTACAGTGATCTGTACTTGAAAATTGATGTCTTGTTATTAGGTGACATTTTCGAAAATTTCCGCGAAAGTTGCGTCGCGAGTTACGGTCTAGATCTTGCATATTATTACACCTTGCCTGGTTTCACGTGGGACGCGATGTTAAAACATACGGGTGTAAAGTTTGAGTTGCTCACTGATATTGACATGATCATGTTCATAGAACGCGGTATACGCGGTGGTCTCAGTCAATGTTCAGGCAGATACGCGCAGGCTAATAACAAGTACATGCATTCGTACGACCCGTTGGAACCGTCGTCGTACTTGATACTACGACGTTAACAATTTATACAGGTGAGCGATGTGTCAACCATTGCCATACGCCAAATTTCGAAGACGCTGCGAACTTTGACGCGAGCGCGATCGCTCTGGATTCGCTTACCGGTTACATTCTCGAACTCGATCTCGAGTATCCGCAGCATATACACGATCGACACACTGACCTACCGTTCTGTCCGACGCGCGATAAGTCGCCCGGCAAGCGCGAACATAAACTTTTAGCGACGCTGTACGATAAACAGCGTTACGTCATCCACTACCGCAACCTGCAGCAATGTACTCGTCACGGTCTTCGCGTAACAAAGATCCATCGGGTGCTACAATTCGCGCAATCTGCATGGCTTCGCGATTACATTGAACTTAATACAAATTTCAGATCGCGCGCGAAAAACGATTTCGAAAAGAATTTGTATAAATTAATGAACAACGCGGTATTCGGTAAAACTATGGAGAATGTGCGCAACCACGTTGATGTAAAATTATTAACAAAATGGGATGGACGGTACGATGCAATGATTGCATCGTACGGATGGAAGCAATGATTGCAAAACCAATTTTTCACAGCCGTAGCGTCATTGCGGAAAATTTAATAGCCGTCGAACTGCGCAAACTCGAGGTGAAGTTTGACAAGCCAATTTACGTGGGTATGTGTATACTCGACATATCGAAAGTCTGCTTTACCAATTTCACCACGAGTATATGTTACCATTGTTTCGCGACAAATGTAAAATAATGTACACCAATACAGACAGCTTTACTGCGTCGAGTGCGAGGACGTTTACGAGACTATGAAACGCGATATCGCTAGATTCGACACGAGCGATTATCCGACGGACAACGCGTACGGTATGCCTCTCGCGAACCAAAAAGTACCCAGTCTGATGAAGGACGAAAATAACGGTGCGATAACCGAATTTGGTCTCAGAGCGAAGATGTACGCTGTGAGGGTGAACGGCAAGAAGGACACTAAAAAGGTGAAAGGCGTAAAGAATAACGTCGTAGCGCAAACTATAACGTTCGACGATTACACTCGATGTTTGAACGAAGAGATCGGAATGACTCGTCGTCAATCGTGTATACGATCTAAACTGCACGAGGTATACACGATATCCGAATCGAAAATCGCTCGGAGTCCATACGATGACAAACGATACGTCGTACCGAATTCGACGGAGACGTTACCGTGGGGACATTGGCGGATACCTATGTAATATTATATATGTTCGAGGGTGTATTGATAAGTCAATGAAAAATGTTGCAAAGATTGTCGAAGCCACAGTTTTTAGTTAAATAATAAGTGTTATATATATATCAAATTGCTCCTATTGAAAAGCTCTACAATTTCTCCTTTGATCATTTTTCTTGGCAGCTTACAGTTAAAAAATTATAGCAAAATACAAGAAAAAACAAAAATTAAAAAAAAACACGATTTGTTGTTGTAGTCGCCGCCATCAAGCCAGAGTTTTCGGTATCTCCAAATGTTATATATCAAATTGCTCGTATTGGAGAGGGCTAAAATTTTTGCCTTGACCATTTTTCTCTGTAGGTTAGCATAGGGTCTGTAGACTTATCAGTTGCCGCGGCAGATTTGATAAAAAGGCCTAATCACATTTTTTGCTATAACTTTTTAACTGTAATCTATGAAATTAATATTAAATTGGGAAAAAGGAGAAATTGTAGCCCTTTTCAGTCTGAGTAATTTGATATATATATAACAGTTAGTATTTAACTGAAAACTGTGGCTTCGACGATCTTGGCAAACATTATTCTACGGACTTATCAATCCACCCTCGTACATATCAACATTTATATTACTATTATGGGAGTATAAATGAGTTTCCGCCGTTTGACAAACAATGGCGCCACTAGAATGTTACAGTTAAAATTGTCAGCTGTAAAACGTTATATCGTAAGGTTGGACATCTGGCAAGAACATAACCTTGAAATATTAGCGATTTTGCATCAGCATCTTATATCTTTTTTCGTGCGAAAATGTCAAGTTTTGAGCCGAATAAGCATCATTTGCGGAAGCTTTTGATTTACTTCTTTAATTTGAAGAAATCTGCAGCTGAAGCGCATCGATTACTTGTAGAGCATATGGTGAGGCTCATTTTAAGGAGAGAAGTTGCCGTGATTGGTTTCAAAAGTTTAAGAACGGTGAATTTGACGTCGAAGACAAAGAACATAGCGGAAGGCCGAAAGTGTACGAATACGCGGAATTGGAAGCATTATTGGATGAAGATTCGTGTCAAACGCAAGAAGCACTTGCACTTACATTAGGAGTGACTCAATCAGCAATTTCACATCGCTTAAAATCGTTGGGAATGATTCAAAAGCAAGGAAATTGGGTTCCATATGAACTGAAGCCGAAAAACGTTAAACGCCAATTTTTCACATGTGAAATGCTGCTTGCCAGACATAAACGAAAGGGTTTTTTGCACTGTGTAGTCATTGGTGATGAAAAATGGATCCACTACGATAACCCAAAGAAGAAGAAATCATGGAGACCACCTGGCCATGCTTCAACATCGACAGCCAAGCCGAACATTCATGGGAAAAAGCTCATGTTGTGTATTTGGTGGGATCAGCTAGGTGTCGTTTATTATGAGTTGCTCAAACCGAACGAAACCATTACTGGGGCTCTCTACCGAATACAATTGATGAGATTGAGCCGAGCACTCAAGGAAAAACGTGCCCACTACTACTCCAGACACGACAAAGTTATTCTTCTGCATGATAATGCTCGTCTACATGTTGCGGCGTCGGTCAAAACCTGGAAACACTCAATTGGGAAGTTTTACCCCACCCGCCGTAATCATCAGACATTGCTCCTTCTGATTACTACTTGTTTCGATCGATGGCGCATGGCCTGTCTGAGCAACACTTCACATCATATGAAGATACCAAAAATTGGGTCGATTCGTGGATAGCTTCAAAAGATGAAGCGTTATTCCGACGCGGTATCCGTATGCTGCCAGAAAGATGGGAAAAAGTAGTGGCTAGCGATGGACAATACTTCGAATAAAACACTAGGTACCGTTCTTTCCTAAAAACAAATTCCTTAAACATGAGTTAGCACATGTATGAAAAATTACGTGTCTTTTAGATTTTCGTGTTTTACAACATATTTTGTGGAGAATCAAATCAGTTCCGGACAATTATAAAACTTCTTCGTTAGTGGAATTAGTTGTGTGTTAAATTGGAAACAAAATTAATGTAAAAAAAAATCTTAAATATCGAATATGTATATCACAGAAAAATCTGTCGGACATAATCACGAAAAAAGTATTATATTTTATAATATTTTGTAAAATACTATTATAATATAAAACATCCTGCAAAAAAGTTTTATTTTATTTTCTTATTCCAAGAAACGTGTTAGAATTTCCAAAGAGGTAACACGAGAAAAATAAAACACTTTATTTTGTGAGAAACAAAGGAATTTATATAAGTCACGTATCTCAAAGGAATAAAACATCCGTCACATCGTTCATTCTGCGTAATTCTGAGAATAAGTGCAAAGTTAAAATCATAAACGTCGATACAAGTGCAGTAAAAAAGATTTACTTCGATTTTTCTGTACTTATTTATATAAAATATAAAAACTTGCTGTCGATCCTAGATCAAAAAGTAAGACATTTGAAGGTTCGTGTTCGTGAAGAATTTTAAGATCACATTGATAAGAGCTACAAAGTAAATATTAAAATTTAAAGTAATTTGAAACATAAGATTTGAGCGGATTCTTCATGAAAAGTTTTTATTTATAATTTAATTTTTATGTTTATATCATTATTTAATGTAATCAAAAACTGTTTAGTAAAATTAATATTTGTGTTTATATTACTCTCCCAAATTAACTTTAAATATAACATTCTTAAATCTTATATTACGAATACTAATCTTTCTTACAACTTTTTTATCTATCACATTTTCTATACACATATTGCAATAATAATTTTTATTTAAATATAATTTCCTTTTGTCGCATAATAAATCAATATGATTTTTTAAAGAAATTGAAAATGTACTTGCATGAACTTTCTTCAGTGGATAACATAATTAAAGTAGATAGTTCGCGGAAGAAATATCAACACCTGCATAAATGGATAATTAGAATAATAATCAGATTGTATACATGCTTTATCTATTTGTAGCTTTTTATTGAAGTTCTTTTATCAGATTGATGTAACAAATTTCAATTTTATATGTGAGATTCTTTCGGATCTTTATCTAGATTTTGCACATGTCTCAAGTACTCTAATTTGGGTAATTATCCTTAGGTTAGTATAGATATATTGAATGGATCCATATATTCGTTCGGTTTTTGAAGGCTAAAATGAAACAAGTTTTTTTCAAAGGATGAATTTTAATCAATAATATATTCTCCGTTTTTGTTGATGACCTCTTGCCATCTTTCCAACAATTTCATTATTCCGCTCTCATAGAAGGTCTGGGGATTAGAGGCGAAAAACCGGTCGAGGTACGTTTTCACAGCTGTCTGATCAGCGAACGATTTCCCGTTGAGGGAGTTTTGCAGGGACCGGAACAAGTGATAGTCGGATGGCGCAAGGTCTGGTGAATACGGTGGGTGAGGCAAAACATCCCAGCCAAGTTGCACTAATTTTTGCTGAGTGATTATTGCGGTGTGGGGTCTGGCGTTGTCATGGTGGAATATGACACCTTTGCGATTGATCAGTTCTGGACGTTTCTGTCGCAATGCTTGATTCAATTTCGTTAGCTGCGTGCAGTAGATCTTCGAATCGATCGTTTTTCCCTGAGGAAGCAGCTCGTAAAACAGCACACCACGATGATCCCACCATATGGATAGCAAAATCTTCTTCGGATGCAGGCCGGCCTTCGGGGTGGCATTCGGCGGCTCGCCAGCGGTTCCCCACGATCTCTTGCGCACTATGTTGTCATAGATGATCCACTTTTCGTCGCCAGTCACTATTCGTTTGAGAAACGGGTCGCTTTCGTGCCGCTTCAGAAGTGAATTGCAGATGGATATGCGGTTGGCCAGGTTCTCCTCGGTCAGCTTGTGCGGCATCCAAACATCGAGGCGGGACACGTAACCAACCTGTTGCAAATGCCTTTGTACGGTTCCATAACCTATTTTAAGTGTCTCCGCAATCTCTCGCACCTTTAGCGTCCGGTCTTGCTCAACCAATGCCTTAATATTCGAATCAACCTCGATGGGCCGACCGCTGCGGGGTCCATCTTCAAGACTCGTATTTCCGGAACGAAATTTGGCAAACCATTTCTGAGCGGCACGTTCTGTTAAAGCATCGTCCCCGTACACGCCGCATATCTTTCGGTGGGCCTCCGCAGCTCGCTTGCCTTTCTTGAACTAATAAAGCAAAATGTGCCAAAAATGCACCTTATTCTTCGACATGTTCACAGGTCTATAGCACAAACAAAACTAATGCCAATGAAACCAAATTTGACAGATGAGAAGAGCGGACTGTCACCTTTCCAAAACATATTTGGATTGCCTGATTAGGCAACCAGAACCGAAGATATTCGGAAAAAATTTGCACTACTAACAAAAACCGAACGAATATATGGATCCACCCAATACAACTTTGAGCTAAAAAATACGCGATGACTTTTTACTTAACCTAATATATATACGTATATATATATATATACATGTATGATAATAAATTCGACAAATTTTCTCTTCCAATTGTGGCAATTGATTCATTATCCGATCCACTATTGCAAAATAATAACCATTTACTTTTAACTTTATTCCACTGGTCATTCTGGAATTATTTGATGATCACTATGAAATTCTGATTTGAATGAGATGGCGACATACACATATAATTCAAATGACTAAATCGGTGATTATTCAATCAATTACAAATTTTTATTTACTTACGTGGAAAAATTTATTTGTTTAATAAAAAACTGCGGTACATTTAATACGAATATATTAATTATTCTCACTCGGAAATTCTCACAAGAATTCTGATTCGTCTGCTTCTTTAAAAGACACACTGGTTGAATCAACCAAATTTACAATTAATGCCACAACAGTATTTTCTAAACAGCCTTTCATCACGAATTCTAGAAAGGAATCCTGAGCTCTAAAAATATTATTACAAGACCATAAATAATAAATGCAGCATTATATTTTTTATTATAATATTTGTTATCTAGTAGTAGAGCAACGACATTTGCGCAATGATGTTTTTACATCACTCGG